TGCAAAAAGGCATCTGAGAGTACAGGAGAGAAACATGAAACATGTGAAAAGTATGCCAAGCACGGGGGCGCACAGAGCAGAGCAGGGCACCACACACACACATGCACACGGGGATGAAAGGGAACTGTTCTAAGTTAGGGCAAAGGACGAGGAGGACCCCGAGTACACTGGAGCAGGAGGTCGTGAAGGAAGTGGCGCCATCTTTAAGAGGCAAGCGTCAGGGAATTTCTGACAGAAGTCATAAAGGTAGCGGAAACATTAAACAAATTCATTGCTGCAGTGCTCACAAAGGAAGATGAGAGGCAGATGCCCGCAGCAGACACACACTTCCCAGAGGAGAGGGATGAAATGCCACGGGAAATCAGAGGCATGCCAAAACAGAGGATCAAGAAATCTGAGCCTCCGCAGACTGCCCAGGCTGCCGTCACCTGCGAGCTGGCTCCTGCCCCGATCCGGAGGCGTGAGGGAAATTAACATGCAGCAGAGATGCGGAGCCCTGCGTGCAGGAAGGCCTGGCGGCTGGAGCTACACAAACGCATACCTGCAGTGGGCAGGAAATCTGTATCTGCTTTGGCTTGGGAGGCCTCTACTACTCCAGTAGCAGACAGATGTTTGAAAGTCAGGGTGGCGGTTTCCACTGCCACCCTCGCACAGCTGCTGGTCGTGCGACCGCTTAGGTACCGTGCAGACCTTTTGCCAGAACAGCCCAGCTCCATCTCTTCTGAATGCTCCTCAGCTCCCAGGAGCCACCACACTGCATGCTCCCTACCATCCCCTGCTTGCACCCTCCCTCTCTGGATGGGGCAACACCTGCGGAAAAGAGACATACCTGGAGATGTGGCAGGTTATTCAGCCATATTTCTCTCTGTTGTCACACAGACGAGCTTCACATTCATGCTAAACACCAGGACCAGCTATGCTCCTGAGACCAGCCCTGAGTCCTTGGGCTGCTGAACATGCAGTGTCCACATGGAAATGGGCTCTGCCTCTGACTAAGGGGAGGACACTGATGCCACTTGGCAAACGAGCAGTGACACTGAGGAAACCCTGCCTCCCCTCTACATGCCCTCCACAGTGACAAGGGTTCTCCAACTCCAACAACCGGGTGGTATGGCTCTTGCACCCATGGGACTCGGGATTTGGCACGTCCTGGCCCCCAGGCCACCCTGGTTCCCCGACTCTGCCCCAGCCTCCTTCCTGGCCGTCTGCGCCACCTGGTTGCTCCTCCAGGGCTGCCTCTGCCGACCAAGTTGCCCCCTTCCCTTAAAACAGCCCCTGCCCCTCACGTCTGTTTGCCACACTGACTACTGACCACATTCCTGCTATGCCTGAGATAGGTGATGTTACTGCTTCCAAATGACGTCCCAGAGCCCAGTATGCTGCAGTAAAGAACATTCTCTGTGACGGTTTGCTGCATGCTTGACGCCCAGTGAAATTTAACTTTTTGTGCCTCTTTTTATTGGTTTGGGAGAGAGAGAGAGAGAGAGACAAACCTCCACTTGCTGTCCCACTCATTTATGCACTCATTGGTTGATTCTTGTTCGAGCTCCGATGGGACTGAACCTACAACCTCGCTCGTGGGGTTGCTGCTCTAACTGAGCTGCCCAGCCAGGGCTTTTGGGATCTTGTGTCCTCTGAGAACAATAGGTTTCGTGGATCTTGCCTTACGATCCAGGATCGGCTTCTATTTATTTAATGACTTAAGATGTTTCCCAGTGGGCAGCACTACACTGAAACCTATTTTCCTGATCCATAGCTGACTCACTAAGGCAGCTGATCAAGTTGCTCGTCGGCCAAATGTGACAGATCACAGTGGCCGGCTCATTCAAGCTGGCTGGTCCAAGGCGGACGGGCCCTCGCACAGACAGCTCTGGGAGGCATCGGGGAGAGAAGGCCGCGCCCCCTTCAGGGCCGTGCGGTGCGGAGTCCTTCTCCCTCTGGTCAGTGAGGGCGGGGACCCCGAGACTCGCTGCAGGGCCGCTCAGCACCCTCTGACTTACTGGCTTCTTCTCTCGGACACATAGTTGCACAGCCCCTCTTAGGAATTAAAAGAAAAATCTAGTCTTTTTAATGTTTTATGTAAGAAAAAAGTGGCTGCAAATAAAAAGTATTTCATTTTAGCTAACATAAATTTAAGTGGGAAAAAAGACTGGCATTTACTGTCAATATTTAAAAAATATGGGGATCCTATACGTATCACAACGTAGATTTTAATGCACTTTTGTTACATCATCAAAAAAGCACTTTTATGAACTGCTATTTAGAATTCTTTAATTTCATCCTTTAAAAATCATCAGCTGGTTTACTTTTATAATTTTCAGATTTGTTTTGATTTAAAGAGGTAAGAGAAGAGTTTCAGCTTCTGTTTACAAGTTCTCTGCAAGAAACACATTGTAGGGGTGTATCATTTTTATTCTAAACACTAAAAAGGCAAAATGAAGATAAAATATCACAATAGTACCAGAGAAACCCTTGATGTGCTCTGGAGATCCTGATCTGACAAACACAACATACAAATCTCAGACTGGCTGTGTAATACGCAGAAACCTCTTACTCAAAAAGCCTTTTTCCAGTCTCTCTTCTGACCTATCACGGGGTTTACATTTGCTATTTACTGTGTCGCTCTCTGGGCACAGGAGCCCTTTGGCCAGGGCGGACACAGGTGCCGGGGCCACGCCCCCACGCTTCCTACCCGAACCTGACCCCTGCAAACGTGCCAGTTCCCATCGCAGTGGAGGGAGGCGGTGACTGTGAGGCAGGTGGAGGAGGGAGAGGCACTGAGGGTCCCAGAGTGGTTGGCTGAGAGCCTGTCCTGGGAAGGTGAGAGGGGATGGAGGCAGGCCTGAGAGTGAGGCTCCAAGATCCCGGTGGGTATTTCATTGTCCCACTGGGTTTCCATTATAAACAAAAACATCAAAAGTAAAGTTGCTAAGAATTTCAAGATGGTGCTGGAGTGCATTCCACCTCCAGCACAGGGCCCCTTCTGGGCGTGGAACCCCATGCAGGTGTCCTGGTTGCCTGCCCAGGAGGCTGGTCCACACAGGTCTGAGAGGGACCACGTTAAGGTAAAACCGCAGAAAGGTTATTATTTTTATGCCTTTCCCTTACCACTGAAGTTTCAACCTTACTGTTCCTCCTGATTCCTGTCTTTAACCAGTGGCCCTTCAGAGGTGCACACTAAACACACGTCTGTACAAAAGCAAGTGATGAGCAGACTAAGTTGACAGTGTGGCAACTGGCTAGACACCAGCCTTCTCTGTCTTAAGAATGAACTATGAATTGATTATTTTACACTCGCAATCAAAGCAGATGCTATTCTAACCTGAAATCATGCGAGTGAACCCTGAGGGGCCTCTGTGAGCCCGACGGGACCCCTCACTGTTGGGGACACAGCAGCCCAGGCGTGCCTGGGTCCATCCTGGTTTGCGCTGGCTGTCCTGGTGCGGTCACTGCCAGCGCCCTCCCTCACACTCGGTGTCTGGGTCTCTGCAAGCCCTGTAGGCACTGTCTCCTCCTTTCCAATGCAGAGGAGCCCAGTGCCCTTTTCTGAGTCATTTCCATTCCAGACAAAACAACGCAGCAGTGTTTGAGGGCCAGGCATCTCACTGGACTGCCACCCTGACCTCCGGTGCCAAAAATGAGGGAAAACAACCTGCCCACTCTTCCCTCATTAAACCCAGAGGTGGAAGGAGCGTCCACAAATGGCACAGTCCTGCTGGGACGACCGCCCGTCCTTGGGAGCCCGGCGTGGGGCCGGGGGAGGAGCAGGCCTGGGGGGAGGGGCTCCATCAGAGACATTTCTGTGCAGCCTGCGCGGGACCCAGTAGACAGACAGCAAACCAGCAACTGTGCACTGTGACTGCCCCCGTGGGGCTGGGGTTCCTTAAACACCACCTCAGAGGGCCAAGCAACCTCTGAAGTAACTGTCCTCTGGGAGGATGGAGGACTCTGAGGACAGGGTGTGGGGGCAACTTTGCCTGCAAAGTCCCCCCGTCCGCCACAGATGAAAGTAACACTACCAAGACATGATCTGCCTGGGAAGGAGAGGCGGCCAATCTCTCAGAGAAGAAAGGCTGGAGCCCCTTCTTCAGTGGCTTTTATTGGGTTGTAATACACAGGAATACAGGCGGCAAGGATCAAACAGTAGAGAACATTTCAAAGAAATCTGAGGGCTTAGTGTGAGTCAGAGTCTGTCAGGAAAGGGGGTTGCAGAAACATTGGGAGACATACTCATTTCCTGCTCAGACCCTTATCATATGAATGAAAGCACTCTTAGCAAAGCAAGCTTCACAGGACTTTGAGAATCCTTTCTTATGTCCAATCACCCTGGATCCCGCTCTAGCAAGGCAAGGGGCTGCACCACCTCCCCCATCACAGGTTTTCAGGCTTAAGTGGATTAGAGCCAGGAAGCGCTTCTCTCAGAGGGCATGGGGACTCGGGCTATGTCAGAATAGCCAGGAGGGCAAGGGTCCATCACTCCCTCTTCGTTGCAGCCCCCTGAGTCCTTCCATGGTGGCCTCCCAAGTGATGGTGTCTGGCTTAGGTTGCCCCTCCTCTGAGGAGTCGTACCTTCTCTGACTAAACGACCATGCACTGGGGGCAGGGGGATGAAGCAGAGACAAGCTTTGTCTCCTTAGTGGCTCGTACTCCGGAGGTTGCTCGCTCATTCTTAGCCATAAGGGGTAGTTACAACTCCTGAAACCAGGCAGAGCGGTTTCCAACAACAGGACACTTGGCCCCTCAGGGTCCCTGTGGTGGCCAGTTCCACAGAGGCAGGAGGAGTAAGCAAAGCCACAGGAGCTGGTTTTCACTGGCCAGTGAAGAGACATCCGGAAATGATGATATGCCCACTGTGCGAGAGGTGGGCTTTCTCCTGTACCAAGCTGTCTCGGCAGCAGGCCATGAGTGGGTAGGACAAACAGTTCCACCTAACTCGGGGTGTAGCATTTACCTGTGCATCACGAAGTATCACAGCATCTTCTAGGAAAGGAGACACTTACCTCATTTGCTGTGTTGTGTGTTCCAACAATTCGAATGAAGGAGGCAGGCTGTCTTTCAAAAGTTACTGATTGCCAGGACCTGTGAGAGGAAGCACAGCCATTTGCCTGGTTAGACCGCACAGGTAACTGAGCACACAGGGAAGGGCTGCGCAGCCTCTGCTCTGCTCACACTGCAGGAGGGGCTGGGGATGGGGGCAGGCAGCACCTGATGTGTGGCTGAGGGAAGCAGCAAATAATAAGACCCTAGTCTCATTACAGAAGGTGAGGTGGTTTCTTATAAAGCTTTCCACAAGCAAGCGCTAAGTACAGACCAAGCTTCCGTCACAACAGAGTGCGGCCTAACAGGAAAGAGATCAAGGTTGGCGGGAGTTCGTAAGACACACCTTCCCCTCTGTGAGACGGGGCCTACCGCGGAGGGCTGCTGCCTGGACGGCCACATCTGCGAGGGTGCGGGCTTCACAGGAGGGCTCCGGGAGGGAAGGAGTTTCCAATCAGGGCAGGACTGTGGGCAGGGCGGGGAGGGCTGTAGAGTCCCACACTCTGGTTAGAGAAGTGGGGTCACTCACCGAAGTGCAAACCCCAGCTCTTCTGCCTGACCACCATGCCCCCTGCCCTGCAATGATGGCATCTGGGGAGGACGAGGCCATTTCCCACCCCTCCCTATTGACCCCAATGCACCCCCCCGGTGATTTATTCTTAAGACGCCCAGACTCTGGGTAGGCCCCAAAGCAGCCCCAATATTCAAAGGCAGTTCCTCAGGATCAGCAGGGCCTAGGCCAGTTCATTTAAAGACCAGCCTTAAACAAGCCCTGAGAGGAGGAGCTCTGCTCTCAGTTTACCGCCCACAGCTCCCCCCCCCGGACGCACGGGGGAAGCGCAGGCACCCAGGACTGTAAGCGCCAGCACTGTTTTCTGTAATGAATGTGAGGAGTTCGCAGTTGTTGCCATCCCTCCTCTGTGCACACAGTGGAAATGCCAGCTGCTGGGAAGCTGTTTCCTGTAATTGTCTAATTACCAAGTAACGCTACCAAAGAAAATATATGCATCTGTGGTTTGTTTTTCCCTCTTTGGTTTCAGGTGTCCCATCCTGTCTCACTGCGAGCCGCCCACTGAGACCAAACCACTGCTGCCTGGACACCAGCCCCTCAGGGTCATTAAAAAGTCGTTACCGTCCTGTGTGCAGAGTGTGTTCCTCTGAAAGCAGTTTTCTGGAAACAGCACAAGAAAAATCACTCTCCTTGTAAAAACGCTATTACTCACACGTGAAGGTGATGCCATCTGACCACCTCCAGAGCTCTCGTCCCTGGCCCATTTTCTCGGCGGGGGGCTGTTTTCCTCTCAACCCACGTGGCTCCTCAGGGAACCTGCTGGGTAGGTTGTGGCCTGTGGGCCAGGCAGGCCCTGTGGGGCTTCGACACAGGCCTAGCTGTCACTTCCTAGCCAAGCTGTGTAACTCATGACAGACTCACGTCCTTCTAGCAGGTCTGGGAGCGTGAGGGGCGCACACTGCACAGGGCGCCAGGTCCCATCATGTCCCTGCTTCTCAGACCACTCCCCTAGGTACCGGAAACAGGACTAGGATAAGTGACAACAGCCAGTGACAGATATTAGGTCCAAGTCTGTCACAAAAAAGATTGGGGTGGAGGGGGGTAGGAGTGGAGGGGGTAAAGGTTTCACTCTTAGCTTTCTATCCCCAGGCCCATCAAAAAAAATCTTCAAGTGCTTCTGGAGGTAAAGGTGAAACTTGACACTTGTAAGCTCAGGGTCCTCACAACATGCTGGGGGCTCTGAAAGTGCAGGCAGGACCCTCAGCCTCCAGGACCCGGCCCCTCCCACAAGGAAGAGGCAGAGGTCCAGGGAGCCAAGTGAGGTCTCATTCCGGCCGCCTTCCTCGCACTGGCTGCTGCTCTCTTGCCCTCTCCCCCGACATACGGGACCCCAGGCTTCTGCAGTGGGCTGGGGGCTTTGCTGGGGAGACAGGGCAGGAGCCTGAGGAGGAGAGAGCATCTGTGGAGTAATCAGCTCCCAAGGCTTCAATTGAATACCAATCCTCCATTACGTTACATTAATATCTAATCACATTAGAGTTCATTTTCACTAACACAGCCTGAGAGAGTTGAATAGATGATTTCATTTTCAGCAAAACTGGATACCAAACCTAAGACCAAGGTACCAGTAGGAAATAAGGAGGTAGGTAGAATGAGGTAATGAGCATCTCTCCCTCCCCGAATATCAGATTCCATTTCCTCTCAACTGCTTCAAAACGACCTTGAACGCTGCTGGATGGGAAAGGCGGTGCTGGAGCGTCACCGTCACCGTCACGTCTGAGACACGTTTGCGTTCACTGTGCATCCTTGAAGAAGGCGGCCGGGGCCGAGCTTTCACAGGGCGGGAGCGCTGCCACCAATGCTCAGCCTGCTCAAAAGCTGGCATGCCATTTCTGCTGGGTGCTGCAGAAGTTCTCCTGCTCACAATTACTCTGATCTCTTTGTGGTAGGTAAGGCAGCATCGGGGGCACGGCACCCACTCAGGTCAGAGGGAGGTGCTGGGAGGAAGTGTCTGAACAGGAGCCGCGGGTGTCAAAGGGCACACGCAGTCTCTGCTGTGGGCACTACCCCGAAAACCATAAACGCCCGCACAGCCCGAAGTCCTGCCCCGGCCTGCACTGGCTGTCTGCCACAGGAGTCCGTCCCCTTTCCTGAGTTGTAATTTCCTCATGTGTCCAGTGCTGGGGGACATGCTGCCACCCCCTGGTTACAGAAGGAGGTCCCACTCACATCACACTGTAAACATGTATCTACACAATTAGGAAGTCAAAGATGTCAATAGGAATGCTGGCTGAAATGCTGATCAAGTTTTCAGCTTTGAAAAGAATTTCAAGAGACATTTACTGTACTTTCATACTGTTTGAATTTGATAGAGAGTACATGTAATCATTTTAAGAAGTGCCTACCTTACTGCTGCCTAAGGCTTTGGTACCGATCACATGACATGAAGTGAAAATGCCATCACAGTACCAGTACCCAAGATATTTCCAGTTGGGAGGACCCCTGAGGTGACAGTTGAGACAGCAGGCTTTAACCCTGGTCCTTCATGGGCTGGAGGTAGCACGGCTCAGTGGCTGACGGCCTGCGTTCTGGAGCCAGGCTGTCTAAGTGTGTATTTCACTTTTGTGAAAGTGAAATTAGCTCCGTGACCTTAGGCAAACTGCTTAACCTCTCTGGACTTCAGTCTCTTTATCCAATAATAACAGTAACTATCAAAAAAATTTCAGTGAAGATTACATACAGGGTCTGGCAGAAGTAACGCCTGCTTAAGTATAGCTGCTAGGATAATACAGGTGTAATAACTTATAGCTTTAATTTGAACATTTCACCTAAAATGTCACATGGAGTACTTGAATGTAATACTGCTATGTTACAGAATTACAAATTTGATTTTGTCATAAGAGATTTTGTATTAATAAGAAAGGAGCGCTATTTGTCCTGTACATTCACAAATGTAAACCATCGATCACTACTGTAATTACCACTCAGCTCCATGAACCTGGACAAGACACACTGATTTCCTGGATCTCACCTGTGAGGCATCGAGGTGACAGTGTGTGATTTAATGACTGCAGAGGTCCCCAGGGAACCCAAGGCACCCTGATCAGCACCCACTTCTCGGAGGCAGACCGAAACAGCTAGGTATCGTGGGCGTGCACACAAGCTGTACTGCTTGCCCTTACGAAGTTTGTAATGTCTGTGGGGAGACCTGCTACCCTCCTGTGAACTGACTAGAAGACAGTGTACACAATACAGTGGTCCCACCTCACGAACTGGTGCTGTTCCGAAACTTCCCTTGTAATTAGTTGTTTCGAGCTTAAAAGGATTTTTTTCCGGAGAAATGTAGCCATACATTTTGATTGGGTTCCCAGGCCCACCCATAAAACTTAACTTGAGCCACAAGGAGGCTGAAGTATGATATATATGAAGCTAAAAAATGATGTTGTTGCCATAGTAGTAATTAAGCTAGAAATGCAAGAAATTTAAAACAATCTCCCTAGCGCTGCTGCTTGAGGAGTGAGGATTAAATGCTGTAATGAATATAAAATCATGGGGACGTGGCTGGAATATGGCAGGTGGGCTGTCGATAAGGAATACGAGAGGGGGCTGCGGCCCACCCTCCTGAAAGCCGCCCTCTGCAGACCGCTGGGTCGCTCCCAAGTGCTTCACAGCCACGATCCTTCTCACTGGGTCCCGAACGCAGTCTGTTCGGTAGGCGGGCACCGGCTGCAGTCCTATTGCAGAGGCAGGACACTGAGGCAGCTACAGAAGGTAAGTCATCTGTCAGGACCCCAGAGCCACAGGTGTGGAGCCACCCACAGAAGCCGGATTTGATGACTGTTGGTTGGTGCTTTTTCCACCAAAGGTCACGGGAGAAACTTTCAAATGATTGAGGGGCTGGGGCACTGACGCCCGAATCCCAGAGCATTACAGCACCTCCCCCTGTGTGGGCGTCGCAACTCCAGGACTAGAGAGCATGCCCTCCCTACACCGGTGGATTACAAGATGACCTCAGCTGAATGGCAGTCCTCTGAAATCTCAGTTCGCTGTGTGAAACTGGGGTGAGAATTCAACGAGCAAACAGAGGGTGCCTGGCATGGAGAACAGGCATCGTAACTGCTGGCTGCTCGCAGTAAGTCTTCATATTCACACACAGGGAAAACGGAGCCAGGGAGGAGGACCGGCAGATGTGCCTTCTCTCCACACACTCCACGGAGGGATCCAGAACACAAGGGTTACTGGAAGCAAGTCAGAGGATGCTACGTCCCGTGTGGGACCGCGCACACAAATCTGTACATAGGTTACTCATGGAAACATACATGCTGGTGAATACTTCTAAGTGCTCTGGGAGGACATGTGCCAAGTTCATGATTGTGGCTGTCTTGGAGGAGAGGTGGGGAATGGGACTGCTCTGGGGGCACAAAGGAGGCTTCAGCATTAACTGGAATGTTTTATTTCTTCGATTAAGTAAAAAAGCTTGAAGTATATGTGGAAAATATTAACTAGTCAATTCTGGGGACGAGTTTGCAAG